TTTGGCCTGCCAAGGCCGGTCATGTAATTGTTTGTAAGACCGAAATGTATTTCCAGTTGCACGCTATGTCTGAAATTGCTAATCAAAGATAAACGCTGACAAATTTATATCAAATTTTAAATATCCAAATACTTATAAACAAAAAGACGTCCGGGCTATAGAGTCCTGAGGTTTGAAGACGGTCTAACAACAATTTATGGTGAATATTTTTTTAACACTTTCAATAAAAAATATACCATATTATAAACACCAGATTTCACTTTCATTCGTGTACAACTGAATTAATCGATATCTAATCTAACTGAAAATAATAACTGTCGATTAGAAGAAATTAAAAGAAAACAATGAAAGCAAATTCAACAAAGATAATTATCAAAGTCTACCCCCTTTTGTAGAAATTAGAAATCCGGGTCCAGTATGATCCTCAATATTGAATTCGGCTTATGTACATGTATCCATCATGCACAATGGTAATACAAACTTTTGAGGCACTTTACTTCTAAATACAAGTCATATTAAAAACGCGATTGAATATACATTGACACCCATAATTCCAATTTACACTTTCTAATTCCACGTGCACTTAATTAAAACCACATATCTTCTTTTATTAGAACACATCAAGGCAATTACTATCCTAGGCTAGCTGCCGCTGGTGAACAAAAATGCCCGAATATGGACGTCACGTACGCGCGAAGGTCACTTACCGCTCGTTGCCTGCTCCGTTCCGCCCTCCTTTTTCTCCTTTCTTCGATGTTATACATAGTCCCTGGGGTCGACTCACTGCAAGTCGAAAGAGCCCAGCCGGCTACTTCATCACAAGAGTTGGGGAATAGCCATCCCTTTTGCTAGACATATTCATTCCAAGATGTCATCTTTTTTAATGAACGTCTGCAGGAAGTTTTATGCTCTGTACGGGGACATTGATGCTGTTAGCGGTAATGTCTACAGTGTGCTGCTACGTAGGTCTACTGGGTTGAAAGCTAGAGCGATAAGCTGGCAAACATTCCTTTCTTTTAGTGACCATGACGATGCTGTTAGCGTGCGCTTTTCATATCTCGGCTGATGCGATGATGTCACGACCCACAGAAAGGTTCTTGGTGCTACTATTTACAGAACTTATCAATTCGCGAAAATTACAACAAACTTTTACCTGGCTGAGGCCCAACACCATTTACATCACATGCTAGTCTGACGCTGCCTCCACTTCGCAAGTCGTAGTAGCCTAATGGCCTAATTAACCCAGCTGTTGGCCCCTGCTGGCTTATTTGCAGGAGAAAATTGTCAGACGATTTACGTCCTCGGTGATGCATCCTTGCCGTTCGGCGGGAAGTATCTCGTCAACATTTCGACTGCGGTTGGTTGCTATGGGCTATTTTTCATTTCCTTTCCGGTGCAGTACGTGTCTTCATGTGGTGCTGTGCACCTATTCTGAACTTGTCTTGAGAAAGAGTTATAATACAAGTTATGACCGGCAGATTTTCAAACAAAAGAAAATCGAATTTTGTAAAGAAATTGCCAAATGTATAAGGTACCGGTATATTTTCTTTATTGAGCGCGTAACTACAGACTTAATCTAAATTCGCAATATTCAAAATACATGCTATAACACTGTACTCGATATTCAGCTTTGGTGAAAATCTGCACATTGCAAGTACTCAAAACAAAATTACCAAAAAGGTTTCTATCTCTGTCTTTCTTTGCGAACAAGTTTTAAGTATGTTCGTTGGACTGCCGAACTATACTGCAAACTGCTTTGGTTTCCTCGTGTATTCAAGTCTATTGAAGGTGATGCATTTTTGTAGCAGAACGAATTAAGCAATGGGTCATTTTTATCGGCCAGGAATTTGTGACATGAATGTATTTTTGAGGATGCCTTCGATTATGATACCAGCCAGGTGCGAGCTCGAATACTTTTCTTATTGGCGCATCTCAACTGTCTTCCGCACGCATTAAGGCGTTGAGCAACGTCCTTTAATCAAAGCTTCAAATTAATCCTCTTAAATAGTTGACAAGTATAACCTTAAACGCAATGGTATTTAAAATCAATTGCTTTATCCAAATGTCTTAAATTTCAGTCGGACAGTCTGAAAAAAGATGTCCGGATTTCCTAACGAGCGCGAGGCGCAAATCATACGTCGACAAATCCCCAAGTTAATGTGTGATTTTCTTCGGAAGTTAAAGATTATGATTAACCATCATGATCATCTTCCTTGACATTCCTAGTTACAAGTTTGTTAATTGTTTATTTTGGGGCAACTTTTGAAACTTTTACTATCTTTGAAAACACAGGCATACGTTCTCAGTGCTAGTAGATAAAACTTAATACCGGAATCTGCCACCTTAGAGGCCAGATCACATTGCACCATTTATTCGTATGTGCGTACTCTAGCTTACATATTATGAGACATGACCAGACATCATACAGAGAAAACGAGGAAAAATTAAACTTTTTTTATTTCAATTTATTTCTTTAAAAAAGGAGTCTTAGTTTTAGATATGGATCCAAGGAAGTTAGTTTACATTTTATTAAACTTAGTGAACCGACTATACTGCCTAGAGCAAAAATATTCAAATTTCTTCTAGTCTTTCTGTTTCTGTTACCTTCCATGCTCAAAGTAGACTTCTACTGCACTAGAATATACACTTCGATTGCATGCTTAGCGTTGCTTCACTTTAACAGTCAGAATAATACCCATTCAGTGAAACCTATACCCGAAAACATTAAAGTAACATCTAGTCTCTGAAGTATCGAAATACGTACAAATACTGCTTCGGTACTGAAACCATGCACAAAGTTTATCAACAACTGCACTAGATAGGCTTGTCCTTTTTTCTGTAAGATTTCACAGCTGAACAAAGCGGTAAAACTCTGGTGGAAAGAGAGAAAACACTTATTTTACAGGCTAAAATTACATAAAACAATAGGTAGTACGTGGAGTATTGCTTTCCTGTCATATTGAAAAATGGCTCACAAAAATTATACATGTATACATGGAAGTGAAAAATACAGAAATGATGTCATGAAGTTGAGTTTTTGCTTCTCTTGTTCTGTCAGGATGTACACACCCTGTGATCTGTGCCTAATGGTAAAGATATATAAATAGATTCCAGAATTCAGCACAGAAAGATGCCCAACAGAGGCTGACAGGAACCTTTCAAACAAGACGCAGCTTGGACAAACCACTGTCTGAAAAGAAAAAAACACACACACACACAAAACACCCCCCCAAGATTTTGAAAGTGATTTGTTTTTGACATAAGGTAACACAGGAGGAATATGACTCGTCAATTTTTTTTTAAATTCTCAAAACAAAAGCAGACACCATCTATTATGATTCAGAATATAAGATTTGCATATGATACTGATGACATTCTGTATAGAGCAAATCCATGCTTGAATTAAGAAGAATCCGTTTAAACTTCCGTCTTCTATTTGACATTAGAATCGGTTAAATATAACAGTTGATTCTTGTAACAACCAATGTTACCAGAACCATTACCCCCATTGTAACCTGAGCCTTGTTAAATAAAAGGACTAGGAAGAAAGAACATAATAATGGGCACTTACAAAAAAAAGAAAAACCGTAGAAAAAATAAAAACAATGTACTTGGGCAGTGCATGGAGTGGATGTAACCAATACTGTTTAGAAATGCAGACTATTGTGAAATTTATTTATAGAGCTGATGTCTTCCATACTCAAGTCTTGGTAAGACATGGTAAAGCATTTCTAACAGAACCCTCAGAACAAGAAACGATTTTATACAAATTATTTTAGCACAACATGATTTCAGTGGTTATGGGCACAAGCTATTAAAATCTCTGGCATTATCGGACCTACTACCCTGAACACGGGAAGCTGCTGACAAGCTTACATTTATGATATGAGATAGGATACCGATAGGATTGGATTGGATTCTATTCAGTGTGTCTACACACAACACAGATAAAGAAACATATAATCATTCATGTTTTTTTCTACATGTATGAGTAATCAACAACTTAAGAAAAGATGTTTTTTTTGTGTGTTTTTTTGCGTTGGGGAGATGTTAATTTTTTTTTTTTTTTTTTTTTAATTAACTTAAGAAAAGTTTCAAAAGTTTACTTTTTACAAGTTAAATATTTTCAATTCCCAGGGGAATATACCCATCAAGTTACAGGAAATTCATGCTCGGTGGAAAATAATTTGGAAAAAGCATCAATCAATCAGTGATCATAAATGTGAAAACTGGCAGTATGCATTTCTTTAGTGGGAAAGTATCTTAATGAAACACACTGTATGTACCATGGCAGGACGTTAGTAGGCGTAATACAAGAGTGCATCTGCAAATGAAATGTTCAAGTCGCAGCTAAATACTGCAATTCGGACTTCCACATTAGGATTCCATAATACTGTGTTCTTGTCTCACAATATGGATAGACTACTGTATCATTACACACTAACTGAAAAGTGTAACCATCATAAACCATGTCATCTCAAGTTAGTATGGAAACTGAACTTCATTTTCTGGGTTAAAATCACTTCGTGCCGGGGAGCACAGTTTCGGGTACCTTGGGTTTATACGCATAGCCAGGGTGCCCGAAATCGGACAAAAGAGCTGGGCTTTGTAACAAAAGACCATACTTGGGGGGAGAATGAGCTGGTGGGAATTGCCAACATTTTTTCAACTGTCAATAGCGGAGGAAATCCGTCACTGTTATGAAAGATTACCACTGTTTGTGGCATTTAGCGCAAGCGGATTACCACCGGGGACAGAAGCACTCTAGCACTCCAGTGATGAGCGATACAATACCGCTGCACGCTAATCTTGCCCGTATTGAAAAGACGCCAGAAGCATACAGTGCTGGTTTCGGGAACAAAAGACACTTATGTAACACCACACACTCTGGGCTCTTTTTACAAGGCCGCATCAATAGATGTTGTCCATCAGATTAGAGTAGCCACCAGACAGTCACCCCATGGGGTTTAGGCGTTCAGGAAAAAAGATAAGAATTTTTGAAGATTTTTTTAAACTGAAGATATTGAAAAATCGCCCATATGTAGGCACTGCATTTTTAAAAGCACCCGGCAGGAAGTCGTTAACATCACTAAATAGTATTATAGTATTGGCTTACAAAGTTCCGCTTTAAAAAAGGCTTCCTGACTTTCATCTAAGAGACAGTTGCGTTGGCAGCGATGTAGTTCTCGATGTAGTAATCGTGCACATACATGAGAACGGCGATGGGCTGGCCAATAATGATTGAAAGCCAGACGGCCATGTTGGCTGTGTAGCCCTTGAGAAATGCGCTGACAAAAAAGGCCAATGGGATCTGAGGACCCACAGAAATAAGAACACAATATCATGATCGTTAGAACATGTATGGGCTGGACAGGATAACTGTGTAACGTCTCATTGTGATTCCTCTGGTCTGGAATGGTCACATGTCCGCTTGTACACAATCAATGTTATTCACGTCACTCATATGTTGATGTTCTCAGCATGCCAGATAATGTGTAAAGTGCAACTATTCATTTTTGACAGGAAAGTTCAGAGTAATTACAGGTTACACTGTAATGATTTACAGTGAAGTGGGAGGATCTAGCTTTGAGGGGTTGATGGGGGGTTGGTGTAAAGGTTGAGTGTAAGGCATGTTGAAAATACAGGCCGAGGGAGGGGGTGGTTCTCTTCTGCATTCTGAGGACCAGTTCATACTTGACACAAAAGCAAACATGATTAGGAAATTGTGACGTCAGATCAAACATTTGCATATGCAGCAAGGTATGAGACGGAGAGAACCCCCCTGCTTTGTGTTGGTCATTGTCCCGAAGGAATCTGGGGAATTCCTTTCAGACATCTTGGGGGTTGTGTTAAGTAACAATAGTCTGGAATGTGTATAGGGATTGGACATGTTGGGGGGTACCCCTCGGTCTCATTTCTTGCTGGGTATAAACATTTGAATGCAGCAACTTTGCAACAGTTGAACACATTTCAACTCAGGTGAGTTTTCCTGCAAATGTTTTGTGACGTCAAATTGGCTTTCAGGAAATTCAAAAACAAATTTTGATCTCTGTGGCATTTCTTACATCTAACATTCTTGCCCCATTTTAATAGTACTGTAACATCAATCAGCAGCTAAATGGGAGAAGGGAAGACTGCTAACCCCGTTGCATCTGCTACTGGTGTATTTCTAATAGAGAATGTCACAACTTGTATTTATTGGACTCACTGTGCAAAATAACAAACCAACTTTTGACTTCTGAAAATTAGAACATAGTACTAACTTTGTCTATGGTGCCACAAACTGACTTGGAATAAAAAAAAAATTACCATGACCAATGCCACAATACATAAACATTTTGAAATATATCCACACAAGGCCCATTACGTAGTAGCACGGCTAGTGTACTGGAAACTCCTAATTAAATAACGCATCATATCCTGAATGCTTATTTGACTCATACGAAGTCAAACCTTAGACATTCCACTCAAATGTTTGCAGCGAAAGAGCAAGATGGAGTTTCTAATGATCAGAAAGTCATGTGATAGTTTCTTACCTGGAGAATCATGCCCATGAATCCCCACAGGCGGAACATGTGCAGTGGCACACTCAGCAGGTACTGCAAAGATCAGATAATAATGGTCAGTTCTTGTATAGCGCATATGACGGAATGTCTCTATTCGCTTATTATCAAGTAACTCTTGAAGGTTTGCATGGTGGAAAACGATAAGGTAGAGGGTTTGCGGATACATCATGTGGAAAATATCTCTTCTGAGTACTGTCCGAAACGTCAAGTAACCGGTTCTTTTCAGAACCACACATACTCAAAAGAGATATTTTCCACGTGGTGTATCCGCAAACTCTTTACCTTATCACTCATTATCGTTATCCCAGCACATTGGACTCGCATCATCTAAACATTCCTGAAACCATCTCAGCTCCCTGGGGAGTATACTAGCCTGATGCTGCCCTATCAGCACAAATGGCTAAACATAATTGTGTCTGCCCTCAAGGGTACTCATTTACTCCCCGGTGGAGAGAGGCACTAAGGGGTGAAGTGACTTGCCAAGGATCATAACATGCTGCCACCAGTTGGATTCGAACCCCTGACCCTATGATCAGAAGCTACAAGCCCTACCCACTAGGCCACACGCCCCCCAAAATGCTACAATGCTAGTCTTCCTGCTGTATAGTAAGCTTAAAACAAGGTTTAATTACATTTGCTTGTTTATCCAATTGCACAAGCAGGAATTACAGGATGCTTAAAAGTGACAACAACGAATGATTCAGTCTTTGGGCTGAGAGAAAAATCCTGGATAACTAGTCCAGGGAAAACCTCCAAAATCAGGCAGAGGACTAAAAACCCAATCAACATGCCGACCTGGGAAGCATTCAAAACCTGGGTCTCACAGGTGGAAGTAAGGAACATCCCACTATGCCAACCTGTCGACTTTCCTCAAAAAAAAAAAAATTGTCATGATCTCAAATTTACAGAATAGGAAATATATTTGGAAAGCAAACGTTTTTTAACAGCCTGAACTCACCTCGTGAAATATGGCCGAAAGGAAGAAGACGCATACCTGTCCCGACAGTTTGCTGTAGCCATGCTTCAACATTGGCTTGTACACATGCCTGGAATACAACCATAGAAAGAACAGCGCACCTGAATGCCCAAACCTTCTCTCTTAATATAGACAACAATATGAAGAAATGATCGAGTTTCAGTTAGAGTTGTGTAACTAAATGAAACTGGTTGGCTACTGAGTCGTGGAGTCAAGTCCTTTTCTGAGAGCAGCAAGTATACTGAAATGGACTGTGGAATCCACCTTGGGCAGAGGCACCCCTTTATTGGCATGCAATGGAGTGTTCATTTTGATGGTAGCAACGAGAGGGCAACACAGGCATTTCATAGTCATCTATGCACCAGAGAAGTGCAGTATCCATCAAAAGAGCTTTCATTGCTAGGAAAATTGCGGGTTATTGCGCCCTCTCTTGGTCCCAGATACATAAATGAGCATGATAAACTGGACAGTGTGGTTGAGTAGTTGGGCTCTTGATTATGGGTAAGAGGCTAAGTGTGTGTAGGAAAAGGATTTTCAAACCGTCCAAGCGTTTGCCAAAACAAACATCCAATTTCTTTGCAAATACTGCCATGCAAAGTCTTACATATCTTTGGCAAACAATGTGTCTAACACCTCTATATTCCCACTTATTCAAAATACACAGTCAAAAAACAGCCCTCAGTACCTTAGCTTAAAATCTTACAGTACCACCTTGTATTGAAGGATGCTTAAGGACTTCAGAAGATGGCCTCTTGCATAATGCTGACTGGGCTATGCTTATACTTAGAAGTACAGAGCGCTGGGTAGATTTACTCAGCAAAATCAGTTCATAGCCCAAATGATATGGAACTGACATAGCTCACAAACGGTTTAAAGATTATTCTGACTTTGGGGGAAAATAAACTCTACATTTTCTGCCCAGCATATCAAGCAAACTTAATGAAAGCAGGGATGTCCACTCAATAAAAGCAAGCTACTGGCCAATATTGATCACTTAATCATAGAGCCTTATACTTGATGAGTATTCTGTACATGTTTCTGTCTGAGTTTTTCCAACTTGTAGTTTGTCTCCTCCTTTTAATCCATCTGTCAGAGTACTTACCTTGCGCACCATCTGTATGTTGGGATGTTCCAGTTCCTCCAAAAATATCCAACAGACTCAGAATTCCTTGAAGAAATGAAGAGTAACAGTTATATCAAAACAATCGTAACGAATGTTACAAAAAGAATACAAGGCCTTCAAAGTACATTTTATTTTGTTTAAATGTGGTACACAGCAACACCAACAAAACACAACTCAATGCAACACAACGTGAAACAATGCAACACAACGCAACAACACAACATTTGTTTCTACTCCACTGAATGAACTAAGTCAAATTGAAAGACAACTGCTCCCAAACTGGGAAAAAGAAAATAAAAACCTGGACCAGAAAAAAACAAACAAGCAAAGCACAAGGATAACCTAGCAAAAACAACACGAAAGAACATGCAATGAGCAGGTAGCAATAATAACCCATGACTTGTCGCCGAACTCTATCAAAGAAACAAAAATGACGTTCTTACCACCAGTCACGATAGAACTCCCTGTCCGCAAATCGAAGCAGCTCAGCGATGATGTTCAGGAAGGAATGGAAGTAGAAGTAGAAGAACATGAGCCAGATGAAG